GTCCCGCCTTCACTTCTGACTCCAGCTTATAACACATTCCACTGGTCGTTTCCTTCCAGAAGTACAATACGTAGTTTCTTCTTGGCCCTCGTACATCATTGCTTAGGGGGCAGGTGACCGGCTCTCCTTGGTTAGAAGACTCTCTCAGAAACCATTCGATCAAAGGGGTTGCAGAGACTTTTCTTCAGGCAAGAGCAATTTTGAGCTCATTTTTCTGTTTGAAGGAGATTTTTGTGTTCTAAAAGGCATTTAAGATCTACTCTCTTGCACTGTGAGAACAAGGATTTTAACAATGGCTCAGACTCAAAAATCACCAGTGGCTGGAGAAAGCTTGAGAGTGGAAACAGAGGGAGATGGTGCACTGGTTTGTAGTCATTGGGAGGATGGAAGAGAATGTTTCCTTCAGTGGTTTTATCGAAACACTCCTCTGCTCATTAGTTTGAGGAAATTTCCAATTAGCTGTTAAAACAAAGATTCTGGAAATTTGCCCTTCTTTTCCCTCAGAGATTAAGAGAATTAGGTAATTAATAATAATAATACCACAGTGATTGTGGCAAACTTTCAATTCAAGTAATCTGAAGGATATATTTATATAAAGCTCCAAAACCATGAAACAAAGTACTAAATATTCAGCCAGCCAGCTTCCTAAAGATGGGCATTAGGGGTGTGGGTTACCAAGTTTTAGACTTAAGACAGCTGTGCTTTCCCTTTGCGTTTATCCCTAGATAGTGAAGAGGGGCAATGTTTTAAATGGAGTGGGGTTAGTCCCAAATGGGCTCTTATTCCATTTTTCTTCTTTTATTTGGGGGAAAACATAAACAACCAGTTTAAATTTAGTGAAGCATTTTTTGCACGTTGGCATGGGTCTTAAAGTAAAGTAAGGATCACCTTTGCCTCCACAGCAATGCGCTCCCGCTAAAGTCTTCCTAGTTGTTCGGGGCAGGGTGGCATTTGGAGGACTGCTGGGGGCAGAGGGATTCATCCCAAATTAGACTTAGAGCCTAACCTAATAGAAGAAAGTTATTTCTCCACCTTGTAGGTGGCTCAATCCACTTTCTACAGATATTCTGCAGAATTCACAGGCAGGTATACTTTCCTCTGTTTCCTTATCCGATGATTCAAAGCACTGTTTTAATTTGTTAAATATGCTTTAGTTGCATGGTTTTTAACATTTTTGTTTTGGAGGGGGACACTGAAAAGTAGGAAAAGGATTGATGGGATAACTGAAACACTTCTAACATGTAGGAAGTAAGTGCAAAAACCAGAGCCAGCCACCTAAAGTGTTCAGAAGCTGAAGTTTGAAATCCCATTTTCTATCTTTTGTCTCCCAAAAGCACATCGTCTAAGTGCTTTGATAGGAATTGCTGCTGCTGCATTTCAAGAATTGCAGTAAATTCTTAAACCCCTCTGCTGTTATCTCTCATGGGAGAGCTCAGGGGAGAGATCCAGACCACTCAGGAAAACTGGGGTCTTTTTCCTGTATGCTGGACCTTAGTCAAGGAAAATTTCAACAATTTGCTATGTATTTTTACCACGGATATGTCATCTGAAGAATTCTCAGAACAATCCTTTAAAGTTTGCTTTGGCTGTATAGAAGAGGCTAATGCCTTTATGGTTGCCTTGATTATCTTATTTTGGCTGGATGATCAAAACATCCCCAGGGCTGCATTCACTGGCACACTGGATTTGCCTCAGTAGAGGTGCTGTTTATAACATGCTCCTCACTCCCAGGCATTTGATGTGCACTGTGTTGTCCAGGCTCAGGTGGCCTCTGGTTCTGCTTGTAACCAGAAAATTACCCTGTGTCCACATGTTCACATTGACATGAGGCTGGTTCTTCTTGCTCAAAACAAGGGTAAGAGGAAAGCTACTCCATGGGGCCAAATCTACATGAATGATATACCCTCAAAAGATACTGACTCTCAGAAATCACATGATGATTGGACAAAAATCCCGGTGAAGCTCTTTTTCCATCAGCTTTTTTTTACTGCAGGTAAACTAATGGTTACATCCAATTATTTTGTATGCCTCCTTCTGGGACCACTTCATGGGTATCATGTGCACTAACGAATAATGCACACCTGCTCCATGGTGGTGGAGAAGTTAAATTTTTCTCACCCCAAATGTGAGTTCGTTTTCCCCCCATGTTTTAAATAGTTATACCCCCTTCCTGGCATCCCCTTCTTCTTCCTTATCCTCTCCTCATATTTTTCCATTGCTAGCTTGCTTTCTCTACACCCTTTTGTTACCACGCCTCTACTTCTATAGCTGTATAGCTGTATTTTTTCCAGCTTTTGGTGGATGCAAATCTGTGCATCTGCTCATTTGCAAATCCACTCAAAATAAAAAAATCCACAATGGGTTGAAGTCAGGCATACATTTCATGTGCAGCAAAAACCTGGAGTACATGGTGATATTCCCTGTGATTTTACTAATCAATGCTTGACAATTGGCATATATTCTACCCCCAAGAAAACCAGCTTCTAATGCTTGCATGGCCACGTGTGTTTCAAAACCCCATAACAATGGAAACAGAAGCTGTACGGTAACAGTGCTGTGTGCACTTAGCAGATGCCAAGGCAATGAAGGGAAAGTCAGCATCTGAAATGGATTTTGAAGAGGTAAAGATCCACCTAGGTAAATCCATGCCTGATGTGGCTAAGGATCTCCCCATGTCTATTGTTTGGATGTATAACGCAATCTGCTGAAGAAGTGTTCTAAATTAGAATAGGCTCTGAAATCCTCAGTGGGGAAATCCCATGGGACTGAATTGATATCTGGTTAGAAGGGGCCCTCTGCATGTCTGAAGAAGGAGTTTGATTATTTGGTTGGATGGCTGTGTAGGCTTAGGTGGTTCTTGCAGGTCAAGGATTGGTAGGTTTGTGTTGTTTTTTTATTCGTTTAACTTGTATTCTGTCCCACTTAGTCACACCAACTACTCTGGCCAGTTTGATGTCCCAAATGTCTAAATGAAGTGATGCTATTGAGGGATCCAATCTCTCCAGTCATTCAAGTGCATGACCCTAAAAAAGATACAACGCAATAGCTATCTGAGTAGCTTGATCCCGAAGAGCAAGAGTCCTCAACCTTGGGCCTCCAGATGTTCTTGGACTTCAACTCCCAGAAATCCTGGCCAGCAGAGGTGGTGATGAAGACTTCTGGGAGCTGTAGTACAAAAACATCTGGAGGGCCAAGGTTGGGGACCACTGCTGAAGGGGGAACCAGCAAATCTTGGAAGTCATATGGTGCAGCAGGGCCAGTAGGAGAGCAGTCATCTGGAATAATCCTGAGATCTTGAGACAGCCCTCTCATGCTCTGCAGGAAGGAAAGACGCTTCAAGAGTCACAGGCACCGTGAATCTTGATGAAAAAAAGGAAACAAATGGGTACTAACTGGACGGGTACTGTTCTGGGGCCAAAACCCTTTTCTCTGAGAGATGCTAGTTACTGCACTACCATGAATGTGAACTCAATGAAATTGAACAGAACACTCCCTGTATTGTTGCACACTCCCAAAGATCCAGAGTTCTGGGAATGAGTGGGTGAGATCACAACATCTCCTTCTGAAAGAATGGGGGTCTGCTATGTTATTAACTAGCTGGCTGGGTAGCTTAGTGGGTTAGAGAATGGAAGTTCAGTTCTCCACTGTGCATACCACACAGGATAGCCTGCATAACCCTGGGCAAACTGCACAGTCCCAGAGTGCCCACAGAAAAGGGAATGGTAAAGCACCTCTGAGTATTATCTTATCTAGAAAACCCTAAAAGGGTCACCATAAGCCAGAATGCAATTATTTTCACCTTAATGGCATGCAATTATCATTACTATACTGTATTATTAGCTACACCTGGGACATAATGTGCTAATTAAAGCTCACATGAACTGTGAGGAGCTCCCAAGGATTTCTCAGACTGGAGGAAAGAAAAGAGCAAATGAGATTCATTGAAACAATTGTAAAGTATGACATGCTGGGGCAATCCACCCCACAACATCATGCTTATGTTGGAACTGATCTGGAATTCTGTGTACAGTTCTGGTCACCAAACATCAAAAATGATACTGTAGATCTGAAACAGGTGCAGAAGAGGACAACAAAAATATGAAAGGACTGGATTAGTACCCCTACAAGGAAAAATCACACTACCTCATGTGAGTTAGCTTAGAAAAATGTAAGCAAAAAAAAAAAAAAGCAAAGGAAGTATACTAAATTATGCACAATTTGATACTCACAGTACCTCATGTGAGTTAGCTTAGAAAAACGTAAGCCAAAAAAAAAAAAGCAAAGGAAGTATACTAAATTATGCACAATTTGATACTCACACTACCTCATGTGAGTTAGCTTAGAAAAATGTAGGTCACAAACGGCTGAAAGTTAGAACAGCTACATATCACCTACGGTATTAGAAGACCTCTATGTTAGTTGCTGGAGAACATAAGAGTGTGCAGTTACAGCCATACGTTATTAGGGGACTTCCCATAGGCAACTGCTTGGCCACTGTGTTGGACTCATTAGGCCTTCAATCTGATTCAGTGTAGCTCTTTTATTGTTGTTGTTGTTGTTGTTGTTGTTCTTGTTGTTGTTGTTGTTGTTGTTCCGCATTTCTCCCAACAAGGGACCCAAACCAGCTCACAACAATATAATTCACACAATTAAAAACATAATAAGTTAAATATTAAAAGATAAATTAAACAATATAATGTTTTTATGGAATACTGCAGCAAACTCTAACTAGCTGCCTCTACCTTTCCTCTACTGGCACATGGTCAGTTTTCCAAGATTGTTGCACCTTTCTTTCACTTCCAATAGATTCTGATTTCAGACTGGCCTGCCTTCTGCTGCACAGTAACTGTATTACGGCCAGGACTATGGATCCAGTAGACAGGCTACCACCACTAATAGACTGAAACTGTACAAGCTTGTGCTGCCGGGCATATGCACAGAAGCTAAACGTCCTGCTGAGTCTCAGACTAATTGCTCCTGCATTATCATGCCATTCCCAGATTTAACTGTGGCTGAGGATGCTGAGGATGGTGGCACCGAGTTCACAGACAGTATTGAAGAGGAGGCAGTACAGAAAAGCACTCATCAGCAGGTGAGTCACAGAGCAAAGCACCAGGCACCTGTTCCGGGAGTCTGTTGCTTGAACAAGGACTTTCAGAGTCAGCAGCCACTGTCTGATTCACAAGGTGGCATTTGAAAGGTCTCCGTTTTTCCTAGGTGTCGTACAGTCCTGGCAAACAACTGGGGACTTTTCCTTCCAGTGTGTCTGAGAAGGTAGTCAAATCTTTTGGGCCTGTCACAAGTGGACAAAATACTCTAAAGGGAATAGCAATTCTATTCAAAGGTGACATGGTGGAGGCTTATATAGCGAATACGGAAAGACAGATCAGCAAAAAAGATTACTCTCAAGGGAATTTTTCTTTCTTTCTTTCTGAGACTCGACCCCTGGTTGTTGAGTGCCCATAGTCTTCCACCACTAGTTCTGCTGAGTATAGTTACACATTTGAATAGCCCTTCTGGCAATTGCCAGTGTGCAATGTTGCACTTTGAGTGAAAAATGCCGCAGCATTTTGTTTGTCCTGGAATGCTGCATCCTGCTAATTTCTAAAAAGAAGGACAAGGGGAATCTAAGCCTCCCCAGAAATCAGTCTGCATATCCTAGATTTGTGATATTGGGCTGTGGGTCCTCCAGGACAGGGAAGAATGTGTAACACTTGCCATAGGTATTGGGGAATAAACTGGGCCTTCGCAACCACCTTCAATGCTAGTCAGATGTTCGCAGTGGATTATTCAGTGGATTATTCAGTTGTTTATTTCACCCCATCTTTCTTGTCCAGGACTCAGAGGCAGTAGTCATGGAATTCTCAAATAGTCTCCCATTTGGATACTGGCTAAGCCCAGACCTGCTTATCTTTTGCAAAGGTTCCTACATAAGGTGACTTTCACCGCATCCTGCCAGAGGTGTCATTTGCCACTCTATAGCAGGACTTTATGCCCCACTCATAGTTCTTGTTGCCTGCTGTTGCAGATGGCTAGGGCTCAAGAACATCTGCTCCAAGTGTTGCTGTCTCTTTCTTTATGTTGTTAGGGCCCCTCTCCCATCCACCCGTCCACATAGATGGCCCAACTGTACACATTATGAATGTCACGTCAGAAGCATGAGAGCCAATGTTTTCTTGTCCCAGGAATAGGATTTATTTGCAACATAGAAATAACCTCCTCTTACGGTAACTTCCCATTCTAGAGCACGATGGGAGATACTGATGACAGATCGGGGATCCATTCCATTTGCCCAGCTCTACCTTCCCTAACAAGGGAAAACAGTCTTCAGACGGAGCTGATTTCTGCAAAATGTGAGATTCAGGATCTTTCAGAGCAGAAGAAGAAGCTGGAAGAAGCACTACGGGATCTCAAGGGGCAGATTGAGGAAGCTGGGTTCTCTTCAATGTCTCAACTCAGGTGAGCCAGGCGGACCCCCAAAAAATGTCCTGTTGGTCCAAAAAGCTGAGTTCTTTTCTGTGCTTTTTTTCATTCAGTGTCAAAAGGAGAGTATTATTGAGGCCCTAAACAGTTTGTGCTTTCTAAAATATTGTTCCAATCTTTGGTAGAAGCCTAAAGGTCAGACTTAGTCTACACTAAATACTTACATTGCATGTACAAATGCCTTACTTCTTTTTTTAAAAAAACTCAGACATAAGTATGTGAGGGCCTGCTCTTTTGGGGACCACTGTGGATTAAACCACCCTTTTGTTTTGTTTTGTTTTTCATTCTGCCCTCCCATCAGGAAGATTTAGTAAAAAAAAGAACCTTCTCTTCCCCTACAGCCCACCCCACCCCCTTTAAGCCTCCCATGGGGAAGGGGGTGGTGGAATCTGACTGGAAATTATGTTTAAATCTCTACCCCAGCCTTGTTTGTTTGTTTGTTTGTTTGTTTGTTTGTTTGTTTGTTTGTTTGTTTGTTTAGGATGACATTTTTATAATTTAAATCTCTACCCCAGCCTTGTTTGTTTCTTTAGGATGACATTTTTATAATGCGCCACTTAGTGAAAATCCACTACTCTAGGCGGTTGTACAAACAAAAATCGTCCCCTCAGAGCCTATCCCCACCCTCCAAAAACAGATAAAGAAGAGGAAAAAACAAACAAATAAGAAAACTCAAACTAAAAACTAAGTTAACAAAAGTAAGGGCTTTCTGCAGAACAGTATCTAAACAGAACCATTGGCTCATGGGATTTATTTAAGTGTCTAAGTGTTGATTTAGCATACATCAGCTGATTTAGTGGGTCTATTCTAATTGGGATTAGCAATGGGATTTGGTGTTATGAATTTAATGTAACACCTAGTTTAACCCAGACTCAGTCAGTAGTTCTTCTTTTGCCATACCAGCTTGGTGGTTTAAGATTAAATCGCCTATATTATGCTTGTATATGGTTCATGTAACTTCCTGTGGCAAATTGCAGCTAATTGACAAAATGACAAAATAATCAATCACACGCTTGTTCACAAACTTGGCCACACAACCAAGATATGCCCAGGCACCTCTTCAATTAGCCCCAGCAGGTTACACAGGCCTTCTATGAACACCAGGAGGATTCTAGTCAATTTCCTGCCAGTTGGTTTCCTCTGAGCCATTCTTCCTGGTGTTGAACGTTCTTAGCACTACTCATTAAAACTGAAAGTACATATTTGTGAGACAAAATAAAATGAGTTGTGGGCAGGAAGGAAAAGGAGCCTTTTAAGTATCAATATGAACTACATAGTAAGTTAAAGATGAAATCTGGAAGAGGATGTATTGCACTGTAGGTTTGGAAAAGCATTTCTGTGCATCTCAGCTGGGAGGTGGCTGTTAAAGCATCCAGTGGAAGGTAAACAATCCTTGTGGGTGGTCAAGTTACATTAACTTGGGGAAATGTGGGCAGGAGTCCTTGATGGGGCTAAAGGCAAAGGCAGGTGAGAACAGCCCTTCTCACTCAAGAGGCCGTTTAGAGTGCTTGTAAAGCTTAGACCAGTGCACTCTCAGTTCCTTTGTCAGTGGTGGAAGGAGAGGATTCCTTTGAAGGCTCGGCCACATAGAAATGCCTGGTTAAGTTTCTGTAACTCTGACCGCCAATCCCCTGTTCCCACAGGAAGGCCCTGCTGAGCCTCTGCCTAGAGAATGCAGAGCTCAAAGAACAAATTGGAGAAGCCACGTTGTCAGAGGGTTGGGAGAATGAAGACGAAAAGGAAGATGAAGAAAACCTGAGGCTGGAAGTCAGGAAGCTGCAAGAGAAGCTACACACTTCGGAGTCTGTCATTGGCCTCCTCAAAGAACAATTGACTCTAAGCAGCCAAGCAGGTTCCATCGTTGATCCCTTCGAACATGGCTGGTTCCCTGGTAGTGCTGTGGCACAGGACGTTAATCAGCTGCAGATGGTCAAGCACTGCCAGAACAAGGCCCCACAAGGGTCATGTTCACCACCCCAAGAGGTGGATTCCAGCCCCATGCATAGTTCAAAAGGGACCCAGGTAACTCTTGATTAATTGAGAACTTGTAGGCTTCTTCTTTGGATTGTCGCCAAACTGACCAAATTGCATATTTAGTAAACTAGGAGCTGTTTTGATGATATCTTTATAGTTTTTATGTGTTTCTTCAACTTTTCCAGCTAGAAAGAGACAGGGAACTCCAGTCATATAACCTAGGAAATTTGTACAGTCCACTTAGCCTGCAAATGTCGACCATGAATAACAACCATTTCTGCTCATGTTGGTCTTCTGTGCCAAAACTATCTAGCTTTGCTCCCTTTGACTCTACTCCCAGAGCTGAGAGTGTGGTTGTTAACTATCACCATTATCATATATCTGTGACTCCTTGATACCAAGATGAGGATGCTTATGTAGCCAGGACAGCACATTTCCTGCACAAGAGGGATGGTTTCAGCAGAAATGCCAGTATTTGAAGAAGTATAAACAGTCTTTACAGGAAAATATCCTAAAGTGGGGGAAGATTCCCTAGAATGGCCGATGAGGGTTGAGCATGTTCACTTCAATGACTGGAATCCAGAAGAGAAGCACTGTATGCTGCCACATCTTGCTGAAGGTCTCCTTTGTGAATAAGGAAAAAAAGTAGTTCTTGCAGAATGGAATGGATTGGAATGGAATGGAAGAGCCATTCAGGTAAAAAAGTAGTTCTTGCAGAATGGAATGGAATGGAATGGAAGAGCCATTCAGGAGTCCATAAGAAGAACTATGCTAGATCAGACAAGCATTCTATCTAAACTGGCATTTAGTTTGTGCACTGGCCATTCAGAACTTATGACAAGTGTGCAACAACACCCTCCTCATTCTACAGTATGCAGGAAAATGCCAGCTCCTGTGGCCTTGTTGATATTTCCAAACACTAGTGACATTTGAGCATGTGTATATTCAGTGGCAGAAATCTTGCTTGTAGCATAAATCAAGTTATAACTGGCTGTCCATTGCACCTGGTAAACAAAGTGACTCCATCTCAATTCTCCAAGGAATGGGTGGGCTTGTGAATGAAGTCAGTGTGTACGTGCATCCTCAAGGATCAGAGCAGAAACACTTCGTCTGTCAGGGAGAAAAGAACCAAAAATTATGACAAGTACCAAACCCTACAAACAAGATTTCAGTCAGTGTGTCTATATAAAGTATATATACTTTAAAACATGCAGCTGCATCAGTAAATTTTATAGGTAGTGTTTGGGAAATCATTCTCTTCATGCTTGAAACTTGTAAATCTCTTGATTAGAAAGTACCGTAAAGATGAAAGGATCAAAACAATTTTGTAAAAGAACATCTGAAAAGTGGGGTGGCAAAATATTCACAATCTGGTGGAGGTTGTTTGGTTGGTTGGCTGGCTGGTTGGCTGGTTGGTTGGCTGGCTGGTTGGCTGGTTGGCTGGTTGGCTGGCTGGTTGGCTGGTTGGCTGGTTGGCTGGCTGGTTGGTTGGTTGGTTGGTTGGTTGGTTGGTTGGTTGGAGCACGGTCATCTTGCACATAATTTGATTGGCAGAATGGATGTTTAAAAGCTAGAAGTATGGTAATTATAATGATAATGGGAGACAGGAGTGGAGAGGACAATGGCTAGGATTGATAGTAGTAATGTACTGTATGAATGGTGCAGTAAGAAGAGCCCTGTTGAATGGAATACTACAGGACACAGTACAAAATCTCTACATGGCATACACAGGTTAGGGAAGGATGAGCAATTAAGGGTAGGTGGCCCAACCTCCAAGGATTGCTTTCCAAGTCAGGTCAAAACCAGCCAGAACCAACATGCCTTTTCTTTCTCTTGCTGGCTGCACATCCCTCTTTTCTTCTGCCCAGGTGGAAAAATGGAGAACCGTACATGGTTCGAGACAGCATCTCATGGAGTCATCCCAGTTGCTCCACTCAGAACTGCCTCAGTGCAAACAGCAATGTCATAAACTGCGAGGCAAACTTTTGGTTTCACAGACCACCATCCAGGCTCAGATGGCTCAACTGGCAGAATGCCAGGCCTTGCTCAGTGAGTATTTATTAGTGCACCAACAGCAGACTCCTTTATTGGTTATCTTATTTCCTTCTCAGAAGCCAGCATATGCATGCAGGTGTATTTCGGCCCACTCCTCAAGGTGTATCCTAAGTTATATTACAGGCACTGTTTTTTCTTCCTTGAGAAATATTCAGTTTTGTAATTGCATGGCTTATAGGTGTCATGGAAAGTATTAGATCCTAAAATCCTTTTCCACACCCCTGGATAAATGTTTGAAGGCAGAAACATTTGTTCCCATGCTCCCACTCATCCATGCTGAGTTCATAAACATAGATTACATAGCAAAAATCTTTGTTAGTTGTTAGTAAAATCTGGTTGTAGCTGATCTTTGTTCATCAGCAGCTCATATACACTTCAGTGAGTGAAGGCTTCAGTGGAAATTTTAACTATTGAAGAGGATAAAGTCATCCATCTTCTGGAAGGGGCCAAATACCCAATACACTTTGCCTGAAGCTACATTCTCCTTGCCTTGTATAATCCAAGGAAAGTGCTGTGGATAAAATCTGGAAAGCTCCTGAAAAGGAAGGCATTCCTGGACTTTGCTCCCAGAGTCTCCTTTTCAGTGCATTTGCAAGAGAAGTGTACATGTTCCCTAAAGTTTGTAGGGTTTTCTCTGGCTAAAGGCAGTGAGGAATGATGATTTTGTTTTGTTTTTGGTAACAGGTGAGCCCACAGTACAACAGGACAGCAAGCTGATACAAGTGGATCTCCAGGACCTGGGCTATGAGACCTGTGGGAGAAGTGAAAACGAGGCTGACAGGGAAGAGGCCACCAGTCCTGGTAATGGGAGATGTTCTTCTGGCTGCCGGCTGGCTGGGAGGTGGCAGTGTCCACAAAGGCCTGTGCAAGGTCTCATTCTGGTCTTGTGTGTGTGGATAGGGATGGATACACATAGAAACTGGTGAAGTTTGGAGTCTATCCCATATACAGAAGGCAGCTGGCAGTGGCACTCAAGATGTCCCTGCCTTGATTAGAGTTCTGGCAAAGGAAGCTGCCCTCCCAAGACTGGCCAGCATTTGTTGCCCCTTTGGTTTGCTGTGCACCCTTCTTAATGGTTATAACGAGAAGGTGGTGCTGACTGTGCCCCTTTGGAAATCCGTAAAGGGCCCTGAACTCTGATGCTCTTTCTCGTGTTCTGGGAGACCCTCGTAGTGTTGTCTTTCTGGTGTTTTGCACCTTTGTTCTTCGGTGAACTTTAGCTCCTAAGATCATTTGAACCTTCCGCAAGGTCTTGACTGCACCTTTTGCAGAAATCACTCTGATTCTGATCAGACAATAATATTGAGATGCAGACAATGGGGTCATTACCAGAGGACTTTGTTAGCCAGTTCTCTTCCTCCAAGGGCCATCACAGTCAGAGGTCCCCTTCCCACAGCAGTAATACAAGATCCTCACTGGGATCCAAGGAAAGACATATTTGAATCCCGATGCCCTGCTGCCTCCTCATCTGCTGCCTCTTTCTGTAGAGCCTGGGAGCTCCCTGGGAATCAGTAGAAAAGCACTGGAGCTGGGCTTCTTATAAAAGGATTGGGGGCCCTTACCTCATTTTCAAAGCTCTGCTCCTGTCTTGCTATGTTTTTTATGGCATTTGAGGAAGAGAAGCAGGTGGGGGCAAGGAAGTGATCTGCTAAAGGACAGACAGGAAACTTGCAAGGTACCTACCCCTGAATAAGTGTTATTACTGGGTTAAATATGGGCAACCTTCTCGGCCTTCTTCTTCTCCAGTCTTGGTACCACTGTGTCTCATCAAGAGAATAAGCCGCTGTGTCCCATTTATTTTCCAGCAAGCACCTTGGACTCCTTGTTTCCTATCATAATCTCTGGACTTTTTCCCTTCCTTCTCCTGCCAGGAACTTTACAACCCCATTTCTTCCAGTCCCCTGGATCTAAAATCCAGCCCATTGTCTTTGGTGCAGGTGGACCCCTGCAGCTCTTTGAGGGACAGCCTTCACTTTTGTGGCTACTGTGATTTTTTGAGTCAGTTTCCTCCACGTTGATCAAAGCCTGGATAATGAAACTGTATTTTGCTCAAGTTACTATTGACTTCATTGGCCAATTTTGCCCTTGATCATAACATTTGCTTCTGCTCAGTGCCACTAATGTCTATATTTTTGTCCTTGTCCGGTCAATAATGTGGCACCTGGGAAATAGCTCTGTGTGAGTCTGAGCCTACGGAGGGACTAATCAGCCTAGCTAAGTCACTGCCAAGATTAAAGGATAACTTGCATGTGTGTATTCTCAGTCTTTCAGAGTTCATCCACTCTGAAACTTTGGTAGTGTATCTGCTAGTGACAATTTGTGAAGGCTTTGTTGATCTCTGCCTTGTCTCCCAGGTAGCACCTGGGTGGGTGAGGGGTGTCTAAAAGCAGAGGGTTTCTGAGAGTAACAGCTAGTCTGGCCTCAAACTCAGGCTAGACCCAGCCTGCCAGCCCAGTCCTGCTAGCCTCCTGATCAGGGGTGGAGTCAGGACCCCACTTCCGTTCCCTTCCTGCTGAGCTTTCAGCCTCATCCCAATGCGTATGTGAGGGGCCAGGGAGAGGGAAGGAGGCAGTCAGAGAGGGGAAAAGGGAAGCAGGCTTTCGCCTATGTCTCTACCCACCGTTGGCTGCTATGCTTTCATTTCCATTTCCAGCTAGACCCAGCCTGCCAGCCCAGTCCTGCTGGCCTCCTGATCAGGGGTGGAGAAGTCAGGACCTCACTTCTGTTCCCTTCCTGCTGAGCTTTCAGCCTCATCCCAATGCGTATGTGAGGGGGCAGGGAGAGGGAAGGAGGCAGTCAGAGACGGGGGAAAGGGAAGCAGGCTCTCGCCTATGTCTCTACCCACCTTTGGCTGCTGTGGTTTCATTTCCATTTCCAGCACCAGGAGTCAGAATTGACTTGATGGGACATTGTTGGTTGTTGTTGTTGTTATTTAAAGGCACTATCATGAGTCCTTGCCAGGAAGTTGATATTTCCTGTGTGTTCAGATTTGAGTGTGTGCTTGGTGGAAAAGTCAAATTTACCTGCTGCTGCTGCTGCTGTTGTTGTTGTTGTTGTTGTTGTTGTTGTTGTTTAAAGGCACTATCATGAGTCCTTCCCAGGAAGTTGATATTTCCTGTGTGTTCAGATTTGAGTGTGTGCTTGGTGGAAAAGTCAAATTTACTGCTGCACAACGTATGACATGGGCTCGTTTTTGTCTTTTCCAGAATGTGACAATCCTGCTGAGGAGCTGGAGACTTGGAAGAAGTTGCTGGGCTCCCCTTCAAGTCAGCTGGCGAAGGAGGAGTCCCTCCAAGATGCCAGCCAGTCTGAGGACACCACCACTCTCCGCCAGCAGGTCCAGGCCCTCCAGCGGCAGCTCCAGAGTGCCCAGAAAGTCATCCAGAGCTTACAGAACCGTGTGCCTTCCATTTCCACCACCAGCGACTACGCCTCTGGGAATGAGCAGCACTCGTTAAAGCTGAAGCAGGATTATACCCTGGGCAGCTCTCCTTCCCACAGTCTCACCGATGAAGATGAAGGCTGGCACTCAGACAGCTTTGGGTCTCTCTGCCCCCAAAATCTCCGCCGCAACCAGGATCTGGCCAGACTTATCCAGAGGGTGTCACTGCTTGAGGCTCACCTGGGAGAGGCTAAGCCAAAGATAACCTTGCAAGAAGAAATGAAACCTACAGCCTCCATGGGGTAGGAAGGAGTTGGATTTCCAAGCTCTCTCCAGGGAATAGAGCTGATTAGCTGAGGCTGGGACAGAATAACCAGGGCTTTTGTAAGGTCATATTGAAGGATAAGGTATCACATTGTTTACCACTTCCTGCTGGAGTTTGACAACTCCAGTCTGGCAGGGTGTGGAAGGTGTAACCTGAGAGATGCTCATTAGGCAACGTAAGCCTCTATGGGGCAACCTCAGTTATTCTGGATAGACTTCCCTTTGATACATGGAGATACTGGGGAACCACATTAGGGTACACCCCTATGTAACATGTTAATGAGCTCTGATTTATCCCCTCTGCCATTAAGGATGGCTGAGTTCCACTGGCAGCCAGTGGCTTAACCAAGGAAGCAGGAAACGCCTCATCGCACCACCTTGGGGCTGGCTTCTCTGTCCTGACCAGGAGCCCCCAATGCTAGGCTCACCCAGTTGCTTGAAGTGAGATGCATTCTTTCTTTGAGTTTATGAGGCATCTCATAAGGCTTGGTTTCCTGCAGAAATCAGGATGGGGAAGAGGCCTCGTGTCTCATTGGGTTTGGACTTTGGTAGCTGGATGACTGAATTGCTATGGTTGGTTTTTGCTGCCTTTTCCCCCCCCAGGAAATATGATTCGTTGGTCCAAGCTCAGGCCCGGGAGCTCTCCCACCTGCGCCAGGTGATGCGAGAGGGACAAGGCATGTGTCGCATGCTGAACCAGCACTTCAAGAGTACCATCAAGTCCTTTGAGGAGCTCCTGCGAGGCACTGACATCGATTACTTTTTGGGACAGAGCTTCCATGAGCAATTGGTACAAGGAAACCAGCTGGCAGGACGACTGACTAGGAAACTGAACAGTAGTGAGTTTCCCTATGCAATCAAAACATTTTAGTTAGAAGGTGTGTTTTTTTCTTAGTGATGCGTTTTAGCCACGAAGCTCACCAGTACTTTGTCCTTGTAGTGTTTTCATGGCTGGATTATCAGTTTTCTCCAGTACTACCTCACTGTGAATGCAAAAGATGCAGGCAGCCCTGCACAGAGGTATAGTAGTTTGGAAAAACAGGTGCTTGTCATGACAGTCTCTATAAGAAGAGTTCAAAATGCAGGCAACTGTGTCAATCCTTATAAGAAAATGAGGAGCAGGTCTTTGGTAAAGTTAGTGGCTCTCAGTTGCTATTCAAAACACACAACCCCCAAATATTTTGCATAACAAAAGGGGTACCATGAGACAGTATACTGTTTCTGGGGAAATCATCTTTACCCAACTACTGCGAGGAACTGCAGTTAAACTCAGATGAAACAACTCCTTTGTTGTTTAGATGTTAAGTCATGTCCGACTCTTTGTGACCCCATGGACCAGAGCACGCCAGGTCCTCCTGTCTTCCACTGCCTCCCGGAATTTGGTCAAATTCATGTTGGTCGCTTCGGTGACACTGTCCATCCATCTCATCCTCTGTCGTCCCCTTCTCCTCTTGCCTTCACACTTTCCTGACATCAGGGTCTTTTCCAGGGAGTTTTGTCTTCTCATGAGATGGCCAAAGTATTGGAGCCTCAGCTTCAGGATTTGTCCTTCCAGTGAGCACTCAGGGTTGATTTCCTTTAGAATGGATAAGTTTGTTCTCATTGCAGTCCAGGGGACCCTCAAGAGTCTCCTCTAGCACCACAATTCAAAAGTCCCTACCACTCAGAAAATCCTAGGGCTTCCACCCAGCAAGCTCCACTACATATGAAAAAAGGTGCTGCAACGTTCTTTCATATATTTATTTCTGTGCCATCAAAGCAGCATGACTAGTGCTGTATAGTAGACCCTCAATTTACAGAATTAATCCGTATTGGAACAGTGGCTGCAGGTCGAAAAGTCTGTAGGTCGAGTCTCCATTGACCTACAATGCATTGAAAACCGACTAATCCATAACCGGCCGTTTTTGTTCCATTTTGGGGTTTTTTCCAGTCTGTAGGTCGATTCTCTGGCTGCAAGTTGAACCTAAATTTTGGGGCCAGAGAAGTCTGTAACTCGAAAAGTCTGTAAGTGGAGCCATCTGTACGTCCTCTGTACCTGCTTCCCCCAAGCCTCTTCAGTTTCATCTGCAGACTCTTCATCAAAAGCACTGACTTCCATGATTGGTCCTTGTGTGATCCCAGCACTGGGACAGCAATTGTGTGAAGACCCAGAAACCCTCTCCCTACCAAAGCTTCCCCCCCCCAAAAAAAAAAAATTAATGGTAAATCAAGTGGATTTGGAGATATGTTATCCACTCAGATGTTTTCTGTGTCTCGTGATGCTATCATTCCAGTCTATCAAAAAAAAATCTTTTTAGAAAATTACCAAGGTAGTGAGCGCCCCCACATCCAGTCTATCAAAAAAAAAAAGAAATCTTTTTAGAAAATTCAGAAACCAGGAATAAGGTAGTACAAAAGATCCTTCCAGCAGAAACAATATTGTTGTATGGAACAACACTGTACTGTGCAAACTACAGTGATTTAGGGTTAGTTCCACATTAGCTGGAAATTAATTTTAATTGTCAGGTTATAAAACTTTTCTAATTCTATTTCTAGCTGATGATAGGATATACCAGTGCATCAGAACATTAAATGTTCTTAATGTAGAAGCATCCTAGAGCCCAAGCTAAGCTGTACATTGGTGAATATCCTATCTCTATGCATTGATGAGAGTGTAGGGCAAGCACTAAGGTACCAAGGCCAGGCAGAAATTCTGAGGTTGACCACCAGAAAGCCTACCTCATTCTTCTGGGTGGATTTGGATAGTGATGGACATATCAAATGGGCCATTTTTCCAAGTGAGTGCCTTTCAGTTTTGTAGACTAGAGAACACTTGTCCATTCCATCTTTTTTTGAGGATTTCCATGATGAAGAGTCCCACCATAGCATAAATCTCCCTTTAGATCAGATCCTTTTTCAGTGAAGGCCAAGGTAATGGGCTGGCAAAATTGCAGAGCTGACATGGCCTCTTGAGCTGTAGAAGAAAAGGGTTTGACCAAGGAAATGCTTCTCCTTGGATGTGGGCATGAATGCCAGTCAAGAAAATCCCTCTGCAGATCCTTGACTGGCTAATTGTGTTGTCTTAATAGCTGTGTGGCAACAAGAGATATTTAACAAGTGTTGGAGCCTCAGTCAATGCAATGAACATTTTACAGATGCCAAAGCACTTTCAAAAGTGGCCTGTGGATTAGAAGGCAGTCTTATTTCTATAGCAGGGCGTGGGTAGATTGCCGGCTCATCCAACCTAAAGCAATCCTGATAGAATGTGTTCCAACTTAACTTGCAAACAAAGTTCTAGGATGGAGTTGTGATGGAACAGTATGTCTAGAGGTGAGATGAAATCTATGTCACTGCAGAATTTTGAAAGCAGGATATACTTCTTCTGGATTTTCTTTTGCAATGCAATACGGAGGTTCTTCCAACTCCTGCGACATCGCTGGAACCAGTTGTATTGGCTCTTGCCTTTCCATTGGACCTTTTCAGCAACATGGAGAGGGGGGAATCTGCTGCTTAGGTAACAGCCTATCCTCCATACTACTTTACCCAGGCTTCATGCTCTGGAGAGGACACTTCTCGATACAGAGCATGTTACCATGGTCTCTTGAGACTGAAATATGCCTATGATGATGATGACGGAGGTTCTTCAGGCCAGACAAGGCCAGTGGTTTCTCCAAGTGTAGATGAGGCTATATAATGGGCATAAACTGTTATATTTCCATCCTGTTTCTGATTCAGAGGCCAGACAAGGCCAGTGGTTTCTCCAAGGCTATATAATGGGCATAAACTGTTGTATTTCCATGCTGTTTTTGATTCAGAATGCTACCATTCTTTTGTATACATCCTCACCACATCCCATTTTGTGATAATTTCCTTTCTGACTTCAAGCTTTCCCCCATGCTTTTAATATTATCTAACTTCAGATAGTAGCATTCTGGAGATTCTGGAGGCTACCTTTTTTTTTCTGTGTGGAATCTACGTTTCTCTCATTACCTCCCATTTCTATACCTTGCCGTCCTCTGCCTATTTTCTTTTCATGCCAAAAGCCCTCTGCAAGCCCTCCCTTTAGATCTGAGTCAACAGCAATCTGTCCCTTCCCTGGTGGCCCTTGGGGTGGGAAGGAAAAGCCAGCCAGCAGGCAAGCAGGAAGAGGGAGGGGAAAAGAGTGGCCTCACCACCTTTGGCCCTGCTCCTGTCCAGCTCTGTGACAGAATGTATCCCTCAACAGAAAAACATGGTTCCTGTTCTCCCTGCTAAGGAGAGGAAGGAAGACAATTGCTTATTGACAAATTAGAGTCCCATGGCGAGTGAAGTAAGGAGACTGCATAAGCACTAGATAACTGTCTTTCTCCAATTTTTTCAGGGAATGACCTAAACATGGAGGACAAATCAAGTCATGAACTACTTGTTCTGAGGTAATCAGCTGCAGGAACCTTGAATGCAGATGTGTTGTTGTTTTTGTTGTTGGTTTGGTTTGGTTTGTTTTCTTTTGCATGGCCCGGGAAAGACAGGCATCTGCAACTCTGGCCTGGTAAAATGCTGCTGTCCACTTGTTAACAGACATCTGTATCTAGTTTCTGTTCAGTGCCCTGCCTTTCAGAGAGAGATTTATGTTTCTCCCATTAGCAACAGACACAGCTGTCATGGTTCACAGGGTTGGGGGCAAGTTTACTTAGTATATGTGACATCCCATTTCATAGTGGGTCTGATCCATGACCTCATCACTATGAAGTCATTTACAACTAGAGCACGATCTCCCTTCACTCTGGCATTTGAATGCCAAGCTGATTCTGTCATATTATTGGTTGGGTGAAAGGACAAAACAAGAGGAGGAACAGAAAAGTGGTGTGACATGTATTCTGAAGGCAGAGGAAGAAGCATTTGGCCAAAACCCCCAAATAATGTTCAACCTTTGGGCTTCCACAGACTTAGCAAAGAGCTCCAGGAGAAGGAACAAGTCATTGAGACCCTGCAGGCCAAGCTTCAAGCACGCCCAGTGACCCCATCCAGCAGCCATACCATGTCAGAGTCATCCCGTGCTGGCAGTAGCACCTCCTTTCTCTCTGACGGCCTGGAAGACTGCTCAGACATGGATGACGTCACCGAGTCCAACTCCTACCAGGAGGACCCCAACGAAGGACAGTTTCATGGCCTCTTAGACAAAGGTATAGCCCTACCCGCTGACTATGTGTAAGCTGCTCTGGGAGCTTCTTTGACTGAGGAGCAGAACAAAAAAGACAAACAACTTATTAATGCTTTGCCCCGCCCCACCCTCACTTTAGGTGTGAGTATTTGCAAAAATCCCTCTTTTCCCTTCCCTTTGTTCCTGGAAGTTGAATTTACCCTCTTTCCTTCCAACACACAAAGTCTTTTGTTCTCAGCTTGGTACAGCACCGTCAAAAAGGATATGAGGCACTCCTCGTTGTATGGTGGCTTCTGATCTCTCCACCTGTTCCTTAGACAGCAAACCAGTTCCTTCCTGTGTAAACCTCAACTACTGTAGCAACTTACTGTAGTTTGTAAGTTTCCTTTAACAGTAACATGCAGCCAAGCAACTAGATACAAAGTTCTTAACATTGATGCAATTTTATAAGCAAAAGTGGCTGGATGTTGGAAACAATCTGCTTACATTTCAGAAGAACATAATTTCTCACTCCGTCTTAGCAAACTGAAAAATACATTTGCAAACCAGAAGCTAACAAACATTAAAACATTAAAATAATGTAAATAAAATAAAATCATATCTTGAATAAGGTAAGCATTCTTTACTTAACCCTCTATATAGGATCCCTGCCTGTCACCCACAGGTTTCATGTCAGTCTATTAGAGCTGCTGACCTGCAAGGCTATCCTGCTGGTTTAAAAATCCCTTAAAGAATCTGTTCAGTCACTTCCACTGTCATGCTCAACTGTATGACACTTGAACTAAGAGGCCGGCTGCACAGGAGTTTATCCCACTCTGTGATGGCTGGGATTGTTGTAAAAAAATTGTCTACATAACATTCTTGTTAGAGTATTACAACCCATCCCTAATGGGGACCAATCCATCCTAGACTGGTCTAGGGTTAGAGCCTACTGTTTATTTGCAGTGATTAGAAACAGTTGAAATAAACTTTTTTTTCTCCGTGTGATCATTTAGATCACTCCAGTATGTCTTTCCTACACATAGTGATATGTAGAGGTGGGTGTGGTCTGGTTGTGATTGTGGGTGGCATCCTCTATCTTATTTTGAAGGGGGAAATGCATTTTTGTTTAATTTTATTTGTCTTTATTTTTTTAAAAAAAACTTTATTACTAATGTGCTGCATCACTTAAACACTATAAAGATGATATCCTGATTGTGTAGCTTCACCTTTACACACCTTTATTGCCTGCCGGTTTTGCAAAGCTGACGTTGCTCAACATCTGTCAATCAAGACTACATAGCACAGTAGTACAGTAGGCAGTAATGTTTCTTAAAAGATGGAAATGTATTCTGAAAATGGAGAGAGTCAAAGGGTCACTTAGGGTTCTTCAAGCATGAGACAATGCAGTGCTATGCCACTTACAAAAATTGATTTTAAGGAACGGGGAAACACAGGGCTGAAACACGACACTTTGTATAGCCAATCCTTGTGTGCATTAATCCAGCATTAATGCCCACCCAGTAGCAAATGGAAGCAGGCTCTTCCCCAAATGGCTGTCAGCTGTTGCAAAAGAGAAGGCAGCAGATGGGGAGCAAGAAGGAGAGGGAGTCACTGTGACCAAATTGACCAAAATGGAGTGATCTAACACCAACATGTGGTTCACTAGATCACAACTGAAGGGGCTGCTGTTATGACTTCCATGTGAATGGAAAAAGTGATATAACCAGGTGCCATGATTCCAAACCATTCCAAAGTGACCCAGAGCAGATTGCTCCCTGTCGCTAATGTAGTCATACCCAAAGTTCTTGGAGCACTATAAAATTTATAATACTCCTTGGTAGTATGGGTCTGTGAGGGTCTGTCATAGCTGACATTTATCCTTCACAGTGTGAGTTTAGATAACCTTATCAATCATAAGGTTATCTCGTTTTGTTTAGTCGTTTAGTCGTGTCTGACTCTTCGTGACCACATAGACCACAGCATGCCAGCCAGTCTTGTCTTTCACTGCCTCCCGGAGTTGGGTCAGATTCATGTTGGTAGCTTCGGTGACACTGTCCAACCATCTCATCCTCTGTCGTCCCCTTCTCCTCTTGCCTTCACACTTTCCCAACATTAAGGTCTTTTCCAGGGAGTCCTCTCTTTTCATGAGATGGCCAAAGTATTGGAGCCTCAGCTTCAGGATCTGTCCTTCCAGTGAGCACTCAGGGTTGATTTCCTTTAGAATTGATAGGTTTGTTCTCCTTGCAGTCCAGGGGACTCTCAAGAGCCTCCTCCAGCACTACAATTCAAAGGCATCAATTTTTCGACGGTCAGCTTTCTTTATGGTCCAGCTCTCACTTCCATACATCACTACAGGAAAAACCATAGCTTTGACTATTCGGACTTTTGTTGGCAAGGTGATGTCTCTGCTTTTTAAGATGCTGTCAAGGTTTGTCATCACTTTCCTCCCAAATAAGGTTATCTAAACTGGGTTTATCATCTGGGTATCTAAGTATAATTTATTTAAATGTTCCACCTCTCTTCAGATTATGATAATAAACCATTGTCTAACTCACAGTAAAGTAAGTCTTTTTAGACAGCCACATCTTATTCATCCCATTTTTCCCAAGCCGAGAAAATGAATCCAAGAAGTTTGAGTTTGCATAATTTACAAGCTTTATTTATCCAATTGCTTCTATGCATAAAAATCTGAAAATCAGTACTTCAGAAATTATTGTAAATGTATAACTTTTGAGAAATTACGGGCACATTTTCTTGATCTTTTAAAACCCAGACTTACATCTATTAAAAAAACCCTGTAGGTATTAATGCTTGTATAATATTCAATTCAAGAGCATAAAAGGTGCACTAGAAATGTATCTTTAAGATTCAAAAAGAGCAAGAAGAATGTTTTATTACATTCTAAAAATACAGGAGTATATACCTTGAAAAGGCATAATCAGAGAGTACAAAAAAGCACAGAGTATGTACACCTCTATGATATAGATTACAATTCCAAAATTGTTATAGCTTTAAGCAATTACAGTAATTGCACCCTTTCACATATCCAGACATATGTGAAAAATATTGGATTTGCTCACCCAAGGCAGCCATTCGCCAGTTTGAATCTATGGAGGAAAATCCATGGTCTTCTTGTCTGTGTGTGTTGTTGCCTTCTGGTAATAAAGTCAGTTGTGATGGTGTTGCTGCCTTCTACTTGGCTATTGCTTCATGTACACATGTATATTTATATAGTCTAAATGTTTTGACTTAGTTAGGAAAACAAATAGTTACCCAAACATTCAGCTGGCGGCCACTGAGGCACATAAAATGAAAATTCCAGTTAGCCTCTCTCTGTGCAGAAAAGGTTGATAAAGTTTATTGAAAATGAGAAGACTGCTTTAGCTTCTGAAGCGACAGTACAATAGCTTTTTATGGACTTTAATCTAGCAGAGAAACATGTACATTCTCTATGAGTTTTGACAGGGTTGCAAAACCTATTGGATTACAATGCACTTTGCCAGTCTCATGGCACCAACAAACTTTTCCATGTATTTTTCTTATCCGATTAAACTGGTTTGCCCTGAACTAATGTCTAATAGGCATGTGGTATATTGCTGTTCAAACCCCAATTTTATCATCACAGTCAATATTTCCAGGGCTATAGTTATTTTAATCATTTTAACACTTTATTCATACAAAATTTCAAACTTTGACACCACTCCCTTCCGGGTCAGACTTACGTCATCCACCTTGTGGCCTTGGACCAAATCTGTCATGTTTTCCAATCACTAGGTAAGTGTGCAGCCGTAACAAGGTGATTGTTCCACATTAATTCCCACTCCCCGTATTGTGTAGCCATAGATCATACCCCCTGTATGATCCCAGAATGCTGTCTACACAAAGAATGACATTAACAACATTTATCCTCTAACCTCACCTCCTTGTACTTGTTGAGCACAACAAAAAATAGGGCAGTGTATAAACTGTAGGACTGTTGTATAGGCAGATTCAGTACCTGCACTTCCACTTATCCACTGCCTGAAAATATTAATTTAAAAACCCAGAAATAACATATTTCCAAGGTGTAATTGCACTCATTTCATACGCTAGCAAGGTTATGCTCAAAATCCTACAAGGTAGGCTTCAGCAGGATATGGACTGAGAACTCCCAGAAGTACAAGCTGGATTTCAAAGGGGCAGGGGAACTCAAGACCAAATTGCTAACATGCACTGGATTATGGAGAAAGCCAGAGAGTTCCAGAAAAAGATCTATGTCTGCTTCGTTGACTACGCAAAAGCCTTTGACTGTGTGGACCACAGGAAACTATAGCAAGTCCTTAAAGAAATGGGAGTGCCTGACCACCTTATCTCTCTCCTGAGAAATCTATATGTGGGACAGGAAGCAGCATTTAGAACTGGATATGGAACAACAGATTGGTTCAAATTTGGGAAAGGAGTATGACAAGGCTGTATATTGTCTCCCTGCTTATTTAACTTATATGCAGAATACATCATGTGAAAGGCAGGACTGGGTGAATCCCAAACCGGAATTAAGATTGCCAGAAGAAATATCAACAACCTCAGATATGCAGATGATAACACTCTGATGGCAGAAACTGAGGAGGAATTAAAGAACCTCATAATGAGGGTGAAAGAGGAGCACAAAAAATGGTCTGAAGCAAAACAAAACAAGATCATGGCCACTGGCCCCATTACAACCTGGCAAATAGAAGGGGAAGATATGGAGGCAGTGACAGATTTTACCTTCTTGGGCTCCATGATCACTGCAGATGGTGACAGCACCCACAAAATTAAAAGACGCCTGGTTCTTGGGGAAAAAGTGATGACAAACCTTTACAGCATCTTAAAAAGCAGAGACATCACCTTGCCGACAAAGGTCTGCATAGTCAAAGGCATGGTTTTTCCAGTAGTGATGTATGGAAGTGAGAGCTGGGTCATAAAGAAAGCTGACCGCCGAAGAATTGATGCTTTTGAATTGTGGTGCTGGACTCCCTGGAAAAGACCCTGATGTTGGGAAAGTGTGAAGGCAGGAGGAGAAGGGGATGACAGAGGACGAGATGGCTGGACAGTGTCATCGAAGCTACCAAGATGAATTTGACCAAACTCCAGAGGGCAGTAGAAGACAGGAGGGCCTGGCGTGCTCTGGTCCATGGGGTCACAAAGCATCGGACACAACTTAACAACTAAATAACAACAAGATGTATTACCAGAACTCATCACTAAGAACAAAAGAATATGCTATATATAGGTTTTCTATATATGTGCTTTCCAGCATCCGGAAGGGGAGGTGGAGGCTTGGCAGTCTCTCTCTCTCTCATTATATAATTATATACATAATTGTATAATAATAATAGATAATTATATAATAATACTGTATATATGTTTATAAGCAAAAAATAATCAGTCAGAAAATAGTAAAAAGTAGTAACAATGTTTACATACAAAATTATGGGCTAAAAACTTCACATGAGATATGGGATTGTTAGTGGTAAAAGAAGAATCATTTAGTCTGTTAAACTAAAGTCAACTCAACATAAAATCTGTCTCAGAAGATTAAAGAAAAGGAAGAAGAACTAACTGAAAACAAAATGCCTCAGAGTGGAGAAGGTTAAGCACCTAGTGGCAGGATAGCATTTGATTCAATACCTTTTAAGAAAAAAAAGCAACCAGTCTAGTGCTGCAGTTGTTTAGTTGTATAGCAGAGTCAAAATTTTATTGAAGAAGCCTACAGACCATTTCATCAATCATACACCATATACAACAACTTTATCGAATTTTATAAACTAGTGAACATGTGATTGAAAGCCTTTTTAAAATGATTAACAACTAAAATAATGCTGAAATTGTTTATATATCTTTTATATAATTCAAATTATTCAAACTGTCAAATGATGTAGCACTAGAATCACTGCAGACAGCAAATGAAAAATACAGTAGAAGAAGGTAAAATGCAAATTAGGGGAATGAAAGAGATAAAAGCATTCACTCTCACTCCACACCTTTTTGTGCATGCTTTGACCTATGTTCTCACGACAGGCACAGCAATGTTCTGTTACACAATGTAATTCTGAGCCAAATAAATTAGAAGAAAACACAAAAATGGTGGATGGACAAATGTGTCAGAAAGTCACACTGATCAAATCTGGTTGGCATAGCAATAACATCATTTAATCATCAGAGAAAATACTAAAATGATCCGTGAGGAACATGGGACAAACACCAGGACAAATCCCTGTCTGATCATGACTTATAAGATGATATTTTCCCTGCTACCATCAAAATTCAGTGTTTTAGTGTTAATACTTTTATGGGTTTACCATATTTTAATGATGTAGTTATTTGTGAACTGCCCAGAAAAGATCTGACTACAGAGCCTCTGTTAAGGGGATTCTAAATAATTAATAGATATATGCAGATTTCTCAGCATATTCACAAATTCTGTCCCCCCCTCCATTAAATTCAAAACCAATAAGTAGGAAGTTTTTAATTACTGATAATTCTGCAGGCATAACTTACACAACAGGATTTCAGCCAATATGTGTATCTGCTCTCCCCCACCCCCATCCAAACTGGGCTGTTGAGGTGGTGGGAGGTTACAATAAGAAACTCACCTATCTTCTGTTTGGAGAAATTTGGAATTTGAGTATACCCTTTTTTTTAAGTGCAGAGAAAAGTGTGGAGAGATTGGCTTGGTCTCAGCAAAAAAATAAAAAATAAAAATGGAGGAGGCAGGAAAGGAAGCAACAGGAAGAAATGACTCTAAAGTGTTGGGGGGGGGCTAAGTTTAGCAATAGATATAGAGCATGACAGTGTTTAAAAGGAAGCATGAAAGATGGTGAAAGGTCCAGGACTAGTTTTTGCCTGTCTCTACACATCAATCAATCAGCCAGAGACACAGAGATCCAATACATATTTGTTTATTTTCAGCTGAAAGCAAGCAAAAATAGGCACAAACTTCACATGCAGAAAGCATGCAGAGAAGAAGCGCGCCCCCTGATGGAAAAGTATACATTTTTATAAGGCTTAACATGAAAGAGGGACCAAGGGGGGTGGGAGGAGGTGGAGAAATGGGAGGGCTTTCTATAATTGGTACACATTCCTGCACGAACCCAGCTTTGAGCAGTAAATCATTTCTCCAGTCACCCAGCTTCCCAAGGACAGACTTTTGATTAGACCAGTTACATAAAAGTAACTGAATGCAGGTGATCTCCCTTCTTTATCTTCTCTGCAAAGAAGCGGAGAATATATTATATGTATTAACTGGACCCCTTCAATGGTATTTTTCCAGCACCCTCAGCCTTCTCGTGAAGAGTGAGGAGAGCTCAGATTCTGAAGATGCCTGCTCCTGACATACTGCACTTATCATAGTGCTGTGCTGAATTGCAGGGAGTTCTATTGCAACCAACTTTGTCTGTGTGATAAACAGGAAACATGATAATTATTGTGTCTGAAAATCTATTCTAAATGGAGGCAGATTGTAACTCCAGTTTTGATGGTAGTTGTTCTTATTTAGTCACCCAGAGTAGACCTCTGCTCTAGATGGGTGGGAAAGAAACCTAATGAATGAATGAATGAATGAATGAATGAATGAATGAATGAATGAATGAATGAATGAATGAATGAATTCATGTTACATTTGTATTGCTGTTTGCATTAATAAATTTGGTACAAATATATGATGTTTATACTAACACACTTTGATGAGTTAATACTGAGTTTACTACTATTACAGGAGTAACTACTCTATAAAAATTATTAGAGAAATACAGAGACATCTATTACTTCAGGAAATCCATTTAGAGAGAGTGGAAGAGAAGCCTGTACACTTGGCTTGTATATGTATGATCATCCATTATGTCAAAGCCTTGTGAATCAACCCTCTCTAAGTAGGAGGGGAAAAGCAGGAAGTGACCCCAGATAAAGGAAGAAAATCAGACTAGGAGTAGCAATCTAAACATACTGTATATAGAAAAGACAAGGTTTGTTGCTTTATTTCCAACTGTCTTTTTTTGAAACATTGTTTTAGAACACTGTTGTATTGCTAGTGGAGAGTATAGATATATTAAGCAACTAAATAAATATTGTCATTTACTCTTAACATTCTTCCCACTACTACTATAAACATCTCAGAATGAAAACTGATGAAGGACCAGCTTTAATTAGTAGCAGAGCTGCCTTTTTAAAATTATTCTTGAATGTTATTTAATGACTTTAGAAGTTGCAAATTAGCTTGCAATTTTGTACAATGATTGGTAAACACTGAGTTTCGTGTTCATGTTGACTGTACAAATCCAGTAGCTTTGAAGAATTTGCCTCCTGAGGAGTAATGTTTTATTACCTCCCAATTATTATGAAGTTGCCGTCTTGTCTGTTTCTATCACATATTCCTATTTCGCATGTTCAGGAGGCTTTTTTCTTTTGCATGGAGCAATTATCTTTAATATGAAGGGAGTGAAATTATTCCTTGAGCTTGGTGCGCCTTACTGGTTCTCAGTGACACAAATATTTTCCCCTCTCTATATGGCTTCTTACAGACCTTGGTAATCTTTCTGACAAAGCATCAGCCCAGCCATCTCACCCAACCTCTGGCACTACATCACCTACTGCTCCAGCAGAATCCCTGCAAAGGAACCTTGCTGTACTTCCTCCCCAAAATGCTTTGAAGATTCCCAGAGGTATGGGCCACATACAAGTTACTGGGTCGGATGCTAAAATGGGGGGTGGGGCAGACTCTATGACTTTGTGTTGACTTCTCATTCCTTCTCTATAGAATAACATTATAACAATCAACATGGGAAATAGACACTGTACATCACTGGAAGGCAAAAGTGTATTAATGAAAGCATGACCAAAGATAATAATTTTTAATTGGCTAAAGTTGTTCAGAGGCACTATCAGGTTGCTGATGATTCAAGGTTCTCCTGGCATATTATGTGCTAAGTGCTGACAGGTTGTATCCAAGCTGCAGCAACCCTAACAGGGTTTTCAAAGAATGTGAAAGGTTTAAGGAGTGTAGTTGTAACCAGAGCCTGTTTCTATACAACTGTGGTTAGAGGACACACCTCTGAGCAGCAACCTGTGACTTCACGGCATGAGCCTTGACATTTCTCCTCAGCTTAAAGGCTACACACTATGATCTGTGGGTTCCTTATCTTCTCACCAACTGTTCTTCAAAGAACATCTCTCTCTCTCTCTCTCTCTCTCTCTCTCTCTCTCTCAGCCGAATGAATGAATGTGTACCCCACTTTCTCCCTGGCAGGACCAAAGGCACCATGTTTAAATTGCTACTTCTAGTGCTAAAGAGCTGTCATTTCTAATTTAATCACATCTTCTATAAATGTTTGCCTTTTCTCCATAACAATAGTATTTGCATTCATATTCCAGTCCAAGACGGTGTCCACAGTTTTATAACATTTCAGCCCACAATGGTATGCCATCTCTCTGCATGAGATGATCCACTGTATCCCCAGAATGCTGAGAAGGGGGCTTCCCCAAATCCAATCTCTCCTTTGCTACTGCCTGCCTGTGTTACATCAATATAAAATATGAGTGAAGGCAATGGAGAAGAATTCTGAAACAGCTTCCTTCTCTTTTAGCTGCTTAATGAGGCTTTAGAAATGGTTCTAAATGCTTCTAAAGTAGCCAGGCATGCTCATAAATCTGGCTAGTAAAGCATTTCTTAGTGTATCAAAGCACCACCAAGCATAGATACTGTTCCTCCCTTCCTCTTTGGGGTACACACACAACACCCGTTTGCACTGGGGAGTCCACTTTCTATAAATAACCTGCCCCATGGGAGGGAGGAGAGAGATTTTCAGGACATCCTGGACTAGTGATAGATACAGCAACTCCGTTACTGTGGGGCTCTTGTTAATTAAAGGACCAAAGGAGATGTGATACAGAAGATATCTAAATACACTCCCACACATTTTAAAGAATGATAACATGCACATTGGAGGGAAGGGACAGAAACAGGTTGGTTTCATGATGTTCCAGAATGAGATTTTAACTATCTCCTCATCCTTCTCTTATCTTTTCACCTTTGCAGATTTTCCTACAAGGTAAACCTACAGGTCTTTAATCCTTGCCTCTGTGGATAGAGCAAACAGAGCTGATGTCAATGTAGAAGGAGATCAGTTTTTGTAAGGGAAATGGTGCAGGAGAAAAGGTTCCTCTCCTTCCCCCATGTTGCTCCACTTCAAATTCCTTCCCAGTGCCCTGCCATTAACGTGTTCCTCCTCCTCCTCCTTTTAAACAAGAAATCCACATCCTCCTAAAACAGGCTTAGTTCCTTGGAAAGGGAGGCACAGTTCATAGCTGTCCAGATGTCTTGACTCCAGAGTGGCAGATCTACAGTGGTACCTCAATTTAAGAACTTAATCTGTATTGGGACTGCATTCTTAAGTCGAAACGTTCTTAAGTCAAAGCACCATTTCCCATAAGAATGCATTGAAAACCATTTAATCTGTTATCTGCTGTTTTTCGTTCTTAAATCGAGGTGCTGTTCTTAAAGCGTGCTGCTTATATACCACCCCATAGCGCTTCAAGCACTCTCTGGGCGGTTTACAAGTCAATTGTGCAGTCTACAAATTCCCCCCCCCCCAGCGTGCTGGGTACTCATTTTACTGACCTCAGAAGGATGGAAGGCAGAGTCAACCTCAAGCCGACTACCTGGGATTGAACCCCATAGGTAGTAATGCAAAGCCGGTTAATCTGTATCTACCACTAAGAGGTAAAATTTTCTTCTTTTGACCTGAGGTGAACCTAGGTCAAAAAAAGGGCAGGAAAGTGTTTTGGGTTTTTTGGGGAAAAAAGGGCAGGAAAGTTTTTTTGTTTGTTTGTTTTTTGTTCTTAAGTCGAGGCTCCGTTCTCAAGTCGAAGCAACTTTTTGCAAACAGAGCAGTTCTTAACTCGAATCGTTCGTACGTAGGGATGTTCTCAAGTCAAAGTACTGCTGTATGTCATGGCATAAAGAAAGCTCAGCATTGGTGCAGGAAAGCTAGCACCTCAAAGAGTGCCTGCCTGCTTCTAATCTGAAGGGAACACTTGCTTTTTATAGGTGTTCCCACAGGATGAGAATGCGATGGCCCACTGTTTCTGTCCTCATATTCCTTCCCTTACTCTCCTTTTAGTATCAAAAGGTTACACTTCCTTCCACTGCTATCTGTGGAAGTCATTTGGACCAGTACAGCTGAGACCCTCCAAGGGCCTTTCTTTTGGTGAAACGTCTTTAAGGCGCCCAGAGGAGGGATTCCAAATGGCTTGTCTGACAACCTTCCCTCAGTGTCTGGTCAAAGGATCTTGGAACGGCAGAAGTTGGGAAGGGACCAACATTAGGCACAAAGTAGCGCTCTCTCTCTCTCTTTCTGGTCTACTCTAAAGAAAGATGCTGTAATAAAATAACTCTTCCTACTGGACAGCCTGAGGGTTCTCTGGAGTTCTGCAGTATCCCACCAGCTATAGGTGAGGGGAACCAATCTCACCTGGATTGTGCCTATTTAACCTGATGTTTCTCCTCTCTCCTCTGCGTCTAGGCCTCCACCCTGATTCCTTGTCCAAGCCAGCTAGTTTCCCTTTTTTCCCATCTGAACTGCGGCTCTGCTCCTTCATGCCTTTGGGGCCACCTCCTCCTCCTCCTCCTCCTCCAGCTCCAGCTCCACTCATTGGCTGCTGCAGAACAGCGGTCTTCCCATTGGTTGAAGCACAGCAGGAGTTGCAGATGCTGCAAAAGCAGCTGGGAGAAAGTGAGCACGTTGGCTTCAACCGACCACCCCACCTCCCACCCCAACCCACTCCAGCTCAAAAAATCCACACCCCAGCATGTGGCTTTGCATGGCTTGAGAGCAACTATCTGTGCATGACCTGACTTCCCTTGTACTTAGAGCAGTAAAGCTACCCTTCTCCCCAGATAGCAGAAGCCTCTGCAGATGCAGACATTTTGAAAGCAATGGAGCCTTCAGGGACAGACAATTCTGCAGGGTGGATTCTCTGGTGAGAGTTGGTTGAAGCCTTTCGCTCCACCTTCACTTGTCCTGCCACCCCTTTCTTGGGGGTCTGAACAGCACAACTGGAGAGTGGATTATAAACCCTTTGCTCGGACCCTGGATTCTATGGCAGTGCTCTTCATGGTTGGCATACAGGCCACCCACCATCTGCTGTCCCATAGCTACTCACAAGGGTACTTTTAGCCTCTCAAACACATGCAGGAAGTTTTCTCTATGAGTAGAAAATGAGAAGCTGTGGAGGACATCTGTAACAGAATAAGGATAGAAAGGTGTTTGCTCACACTTCTGAGGGAGGGGTGGGCGATCTCAAAGAGAATGGTGACCTCTGGGCATGAGAATGGGACGAGATGGTAATGTAAGCATCAGGATTTCTGTTGCCACTTTCATGTCTTTCAGAAGTGAAGAGTTCCCGAAGCATTTTGCAGGACACTTTGCTTCATTTGCTTCTGGAGGGTTTCAATTTGGGATGATATTTCTTTAAGCCGGTGGAAAATAGACATAACTGTCCTGCCAGAGATAATGCTGTGTTCTCCCAAGAGGGACAGGAATTGTTCAAAATCCACTTCAGCATTCTTACACAGCATTTGATGGGTTTGTTTAGGGTTTCCCACCGAAGCTGCGGTTGTTGGGAGGGAGCGTTTGGTAAAGAGCTGGCCATTTTCAGAAGAAGGGAGGTTAGCTAGGGTTGAGCAAGTATCACTCTCTTCCCCCTTATCATTCACCATCAAGGCAGAGTTTTTAGAAGCAGAGTGGTTGTTAAAATCACTTACTGGAAGTAGTTCGGTCCATTGGTCCAGCTTCTGTTGTTTTGGAGCCTTGCTAGGAGAACCACTGGAGGGACGCTGTCTTTTCTTTTTCTTGCCCATGAGGGTGGGGGCCAGATTACTTCCTGCTTGGCTTGATGATAATTCTGGGTTATTCCTCCTGACTCACCAGGCCAAGCTGACCGATTCTTCTTCTGACCTGCCAGGCGCTACCCTCGGCTGCCACAGGTTGCCACCCGCCTCCCACCTCAGTCTCCACCACCTGCTCAGGCATGCCCTCGCCCTTAGCTCTCAGGCTTCTCATCATGCATCTCAGAGTCTGAACCTCAGGGTCTCTGGGGAATGTTATGCATGTGCCTGGCTGGGATGTGTGTTGTGGTCAGAAGGGAGCTCAGCTGTGTGGGGCCATGAAAACTTAGGGAAAGACCCTGGCAAGTGAAAGCAAAGTGAAGCTCTCTCAAAGAGTCCCCCTTGTGCATAGGCTGCAGGAGGAGAGGCAAGGGGGGGGTGTGGCTCCAGGCCCCTGGATTCTTCCCAGCAGCCCTGCAGTGCTTGACTCTGTGCCATACTAAACAGATGGCAAGTAATGCTGCCAGTTATTGCTGGTGGTGATATCTCTGTTGCCTGGAGCTGGACTAGAGCTGGATGGTATCTGCACATCTTTTGCTGTCATTGTTCCTTTGTGAAGTATCTTTGTGGGTTTGGGCTTGAAGGGTCATGTCTGCCTCCTCCTGCTGCTGTTGTTATAACATTTGTGTCCTGCTTTTCCACCAAGAAGGGTGGTGGTGGTATAGTAGCATATGCAGTTCTCCAAATACACACACACACCATTTGATCCTCCCCACCCTAAAATATAGTTATCTGGTCCAAGGTTAACAAGTGAGCTTCATGGCTTCTTATTCCTGTTTACTTATATTCCTCCAATGTACTCAAAGTAGCATTTGGTCATGTTTTCTGCCCTTTGTTCACCTAACAAAGTTTTGAGAAAGATTAGGTTGAAAAAATGTATGATAGGGATAGGCATATAGTCAGATTCACATCTGGAAATAGAATCTCCTCAGTTTTTCTCAACACCCTGTTGCTCCAGCTGTGTTTACTTCAACCAGCCCCTTGCAACTTTTGCTTTCTGCCTTGCATCTACTTCTCTTTTCCTTTCAATACTGTGATAGCCTGGGGTGATCCAAGATGAAACTTTTACTGTCCCAGTCACAGAATTTTGCTGGGATCCAAAGGCTGTTTTCCATTTATAATCCCCCTGTGTTTTCCCACAAATTCTTCTGCCTTTTTCTTTTTTGCAATAATAA